AAGTCTTGAAGGCTTTGATCGCAAGATATAGAGAGGCGTCGACCGAAGAGAAGTTGAATTTGTTAGCAGACGTGGAGTATTTGGTGCACTCCATAGACATCGGCCAAGACTTGGTCCGAATGAATGGAATCGACTTATTATTACCGGACCTGAACTCGACGGACGATGGGTTAAGAGCACAGGTAGCCTTCACTATGGGATCGGCTATGAATGGCAACCCGAAGGTCCAGATCCACGTGTTTAACAGAAAAGCGTTGAAAGAGTTTCTGCTTTTATTAGTCAACGACCGGTCGCTGACTGTCAAGAAGAGAGCGTTGTTTGCCATCTCCTGTTTGGTGCGACAGTTCCCGAGCGCCCAGAGCTCTCTCATCCAAGAATACGGCGCTCTCTCTATCTTCAGCCAACTCTTCAAACAATCTGACATTCATTCCATTAAATTGAGTGCAAAAGTGTTGACTCTTTTAAACGATTTGTTAATTGAAAGACAAATGGCTTTAAAATATGCGACAAATGATAAATTGAGTCAAATTAAAGTCAAACAATACGAAGACATCGGATTACATGAAGCCATAGTTAGCCAACGATTTTGTGATTTAGTGCCACATTTGCTCGAATGTCCCGATAATGATGTCAGAGAAAAGACAATGGAAGCCATGGATTCACTGCATATTATTTGTAAAGAAGAGTTTCGAAACAGTTTACCACTTCTTCAACGCATTTCTCAAGATTTGAAAAGCCTTTTAAAAAGCGAAACACAAAATGATTTAAATGATCACTATTTTGCACATTTATATCAAATGACTTTGAATTTAATTAATAAATTGGACTTTAATTTAAGAGACGAGTTATAAGAGTTAAATCAATGCATCAATTGTTCATATAGTGTACAGTAATGGTACTGTCATAATGTGTCAAATTGACTAATTATGTTATTATTTATTCTTTAAATAAATGTTATTTTGAATAAAACTGATTAAATTATTACCGCAATAAAATTATTCTTATAACATATTGTAATTTGTAACTGAAATTATTATAATTGTAATTTGAAATTTATTAGTATTTATTAGTATTAAAATTATTTTGAGAAACAATGCAATTCCGTTGAATCATATCCTGAGACACAAAAAGATTTTCCGTTTGTGTTCAGAAACACACCACCGAAGAGCATATGATTTGCTATATTTTGACCGAATTCATGGATAACCTAATGGTGCAATTATGATTAGTACTTTTAAACTGGTAATAATGTTAAACAAGTTACCTTTAATGAGTTGTTTTGTTCGCATAATTTCCAAATCCTAACAAAGCTATCTTCAGAAGTGGACAAAATCTGAATATATTTTGAGGAAATTCGATAAGATTTCGTTAGAATTGTATTCAAATTGGTTGGTATGATATATGCAATTAATAGCTTACGAGACCAGTCTCTGGGGCCACATCGATAGCAGTGACCCATTTTGCATGCGCCGACACTTCACTAATTATTTGCTTGTTTTGTATATCAAAAACCCGCAAATGCCCGGAACCATAACCCGCACACAAATAGTTCTTGAAAAGCGCCAAACAATTGCACGAGAAACTAATTGAATTAAATTGAAATAAAGTAATATTTTAGGTTTATTACAAGAGTGGACTACTATTTGATGTTAACAGTAATATAGCGGAATAAATATATAACTTATTGACCCATTATATCCTTCAAAACTGGAGTTTGGTTGTAAACGCGAGTCCTTGTAACTGGAAATGCATATCTTTCCGCTATCATCACTACTTATGAGTGTATTCTGTTGATCGGATACCAAATCAGTGATGGGTCTAAACCAAGTTATCAAGTTTTCATTGTCTATTTCAAATCATTTCTATTACCTCTTATGAATTGTCTCGTTAGATGTCTCATCGAATTGTATTTTATTGGTTTCATTCATTAGAAACAAGAGAACGGATCCATTATTAGCAC